ACTTCCGGTTTTCTGGTGGTTTATTGGAGATAGGAGTCTCACGGTCTCTCCTGCCTGGGCTGGCTTTGAACCGTGATCCTCAGATCTCAGCCTCCTGAGTAGCTAGGATTACAGGTGTGAGCCACCAGCGCCCGGCAATAGTCATTTTTTAAAGTAGTCATTTAACTCATAAATGAGTATCATACACTATTTATGTGCAGGTTTCAAAGGGAGAACATAAAAGAATAGATAATGAAGTTAGGTGCCAACTGGCTATTGAAGAAAAGACACTCTCAGCCAGGCGCCAGTGGCTCACACCTGTAATCCTAGCTACTCAGGAGGCTGAGATCTGGGGACCTCGGTTCAAAGCCAGCTGGGGCAGCAAAGTCCATGAGACTCTTATCTCCAATTAACCACCAGAAAGTGGCTCTGTGGCTCATGGGTAGCACCCGGCCCAGAGTTCAAGCCCCACGACCTGCCAAAAAAAAAAAAAAAAGACACTCTCAACAATGGAGTGAGTTGCCTTACTTCAAATTTTGAAGTAGGCTTGGTTTCCTCTCAAGTTTATTCCCAAATACCTAGCAATTCCCCTAGATTCATTTTATGTCTAAGATGAAATTTCTGGGAGCAGGAACAAACCAAGAGCTCATAGAGATTTGGAAGTTTAACATAAATGGTTAAGTCTAGGGAGTATTAAACAGTTGCTGTGCTTGGGGAAAGACCAGATCTTACCTGAAATGCATTCACATAAAACAAGGTCCAAATATTCTGCAGGCCAAACATAATAGCTGGCTGGCAAGTTCAGTCTTATGTTCATTACACTATTTATCTAGAGAATAGAGACTGCAAGGAATTTTGTCTTTTATGTCAGATATGAAAATAACACAAAAAATCAAAATCAACTGGGGGCAAGGTCTAGATAAAACATGCTTTAACAAAATTCTGCATACCTTAGTTTAGTCAAACTGTGGGTTGAAGAATCTTGGTTTCGGGTTCTTGTTGTAATTCTTCAAACCCACTTTGGGCTGGGGAATATAAAATATTTTTCTTTAATATAAAATATATTATAACATATAAAACATTTGCATAGGTTAAAAAAATATGAGCATTTCTTTGAGAGGTTGGAGATATTTTTTCCCTTCACAAGTTGAAAATCAATTGCTAAGTCAGAGCTGTGATAAATATCAATACCTGACCATGTAAGGTATTTTGATTTTATCAGGATAGATATAGTGATGTCTCATTCTTTGCTGGCTTTTTGATTTTCATTTTTTGTAAAGCAGATACCAGTAGCTGCATTTATTATTTAAAACTTCCAAGTAAGTTCTAAGTGGAGATATGTTTGTCTTTCTATGTGTGGAAAGATCTTAATGGAATCCTAAAGACATAAAAGCTTGGGTGCCAGTGGCTCAGGCCTATAATCCCAGCTACTCAGGAAGCTGAGATCTGAGGATCACAGTTCGAAGTCAGCCTGGGTAGGAAAGTTCATGAGACTCTTTTTTTTTAAATTTAGTTTTATTTTATTTTGGGTCTGGTTGTGGGGCCTGAACTCTGGGTCTGGGCGCTGTACCTCAGCTCTTCAGCTCAAGCTTAGAGCTCTACCACTTGAGCCACAGCGCCACTTCTGGCTTTTTACTTTTTGCTTATGTGGAGCTGAGGAATCGAACCCAGGGCCTCATGCATGCCAGGCAAGTGCTTTACCACTGAGCCACCTTCCCAGCTCCTCCATGAGACTCTTATCTCCAATTAGCCACCAGAAAACTGGAAATGGTGCTGTGGCTCAAAGTAGTAGAGCGCTAGCCTCAAGCAGAAAAAGCTCAGGGACAGTGTCCAGGCCCTGAATTCAAGCCCCATGACCAATAACAACAACAAAATAAGACAAAAGTTTTCATTACATTCATAGTAAAATGACATGTTTTCCCCTATTATGACAGTTGACAGAGGAAATCTGTAGACTGATATAATTTGGATGAATGTTCCCAACAGGTCTGTGTGTTGAACAGTTTGTCTCCAGAGTGGAGCTACTGGGAGGTGGGGGAGCCTTGGGCAGGTGGGCCCTAAAAGAAATCCTTGTATACAAGCTCTTGAAGGAGCGTTTCCTCTGCTTCCTAGCTTGAAATGTAAGTGGTGTACTCCACTATGCACTCCTGCAGGATGTTCTGACTTCATTAGAACCCTAAGAAATGGGACTGGAACCTCTTGACGTGTGAGTCAAATGAACCCTTTTCTCTCTGATACAGGTTAACTGTATCAGACATTTTGTTGTAGTATCAGATTGCTGACTACTGTTTAATGATTTTTGGGGGGGAGGGGGGTCCAGTCGTGGGGCCTGAACTCTGGGCCTGGGCACTGTCCCTCAGCTCTTCAGCTCAAGGCTAGCACTCTACCACTTGAGCCACAGCGCCACTTCTGGCTTTTTTTCCTGCTTATATGGTGCTGAGGAATCGAACCCAGGGCCTCATGCATGCAAGGCAAGTGCTCTACCACTGAGCCACCTTACCAGGCCTGTTTCTTTTTTAAAATTTTATTTTATTTTATTTATTTTTGGTTGTGGGCATGGGAACGTCCCTCAGCTCTTCAGCTCAAGGCTAGCCACAGCGCCACTTCCGGTTTTCTAGTGGCTTATTGGAGATAAGAGTTTCATGAACTTTCCTGCCTAGGCTGGCTTTGAACTATGATCCTCAGATCTTAGCCTCCTGAGTAGCTAGAGGATTACAGGCATGAGCCACTGGCGCCCGGCTGTTTAATGATTCTTAATGTTGGCAAGAATGAAATTTTAAGATAGGAAATAGCAGAGAACAGAAAATAATTAAAAATAATTTTGTTTTCTCAAAAAATTAAATATTGAGAGCCGGGCGCTGGTGGCTCACGCCTGTAATCCTAGCTACTCAGGAGGCTGAGATCTGAGGATCACGGTTCAAAGCCAGCCCGGGTAGGAGAGA